TTCTAGTTTAGGTGATATTAATTCAGAAGTGAGGCTTTGAACCCGTTCCCTATCTGTAAATTTTTCGATGGGTTCCGAAAGATTCCCAATTTTAACGTGATCCAGTATGTGGAATGCTATTGGTAGGTGATCTGAGTCCAAGATATCAGAGACGACGACATCCGACACTCTAATATTTTGGTGTACCATAATGTCTAACACGTCACCGTTTCCCGCAGGGGAATAATGAGTGCGGCACTGTGGTGCTGAGATTTCGAAATCACTCATATCAAATAAATCCATAAGTTTCAAGCCTGAGGGGTTTGAAACTCTGCTATTCCAAAGGGGGTTCTTAGCATTCAAATCACTTGCCAAAATAGAATTTCGTCTGAAGCTTAAGAGCTCAGTGATGTCAGCATCACTCCAGGCTTTGCCTGGAGATTTATAAACAGCTGCAAGCAGTACTTCCCTATTACCAATTGGTATGCAGACACCTGTCGCTTCTACTGAAACAAAGGGTGGTAGGTCTACATGGTTGTGGGAAAAGCCTTTTCTTACTGCAACGGCAGTTCTGCCCTTTCTGCCCGACTGGCGGTCGATTCTATAAAAGTGGTAATTTGGAATAAAGGACCTCTCATGATGTTCCAGATGTGTCTCTGAAAACAGGGCCACATCTACGTGTAGGTCTTGCAGCTGTTTACTGAGCTCATAGCGCTGCCTCCCAATGCCGTTCGCATTAAATGCTGTGACTTTGAGGGTCCTATGAACCCTAATGGTCATTCTGTATCATTAGGTTTAGAACAATTTTGGTAATGGCCATTATTTTTTCCTCCTAGGACACTGCACCACTGACCTCTGTCATAATCTGCTATACTACAGTCACTACTCTCAGCATAATGTCGAGAGATTGACTGTTTACACGATAGCCTGAGTTGACTGACCTGTGTTTGTTCCTGTACAAGGACCGGGACGCTCGGTTTCGTGGTTTCTGGTGGGACTGCCACTGGAAATGGGTGAGTCTGTGGTCGCTGCTCCTGCGATGTGGTGCCACGGAGAGCCGCCGCGGAGGAAGACACCAGGGGTAACGATGTTGTAGTTGTAGTTGTAGTTTTGGGTGCTCTCTGCAATTTCCTCCTCTGCAGTACCTCCCTCGCGTGTCTGCAGCCCCGATAGTTGGCGGGATGGGGCTTCTCTCCTTCCTTCAATTCGCAATTGCAGGAAGCCGGATTGGAGGCACCGTTCTCCTTCTCAGGGCACTCTTTGTGCAGGTGGCTACCCCCACACCACATGCAACGGGGAGGTTGTTTGCAATTGGCCCAGACGTGGCCAAACTGTTGGTAGTTGTGAGATTGCGTAAGGCCACTCTGTGCTCTATATGCCATTCAACCCGAATGGAAATGTGGCAAAGGCTTTGAAGATGGAAAATTTCTTGTGATTTTGCCGTTCTGGGTAGGGTGATAAGGAAGAGCGGAAGGTTTCTTGCTATCCTTTCGTCTCAGAGCGACCCGCTGATGGTTGTCATCTGTTTGACGCCAACAACATCTCCAATCCCAGGGTCACCAGTCCATCAGATATATCCTCCGCTTGGGTATTGTGAGGGAGGTGACGGTTTACAGCCTTTATGTGTTTTAGGGACTTGGGAAAGAATTTAAATAGGAAACTTTGTTGTTGGATAGATGGAACTTGACGGTTTCGAAATCCGCCATGCTTTTGTTGAGGACTCTGCTCCCGTTTCTGGTACTGCGGAACTCGAAGTCGCCTTTGACCACATTTTTCAATTGCTTCTGCAACTGAATGAGTTTCACTATGGACGTGAGAATTATTGGGGGCGGCCTGCCTGCTTTACCTGATGATTCCACCTCCAGAGTTGCTCCCTCCTCCAGCGCAGTGGCTCCGTCACCAGCAGTGTCGGTGTCCATTGATATCACCCTAAGAGGAGCAAAGTAGTTACGGGTGAGCACCTCTATGGTCTGGGTGTTGCCTGTGGCAGCCACTGCCTTCTTTGAAATCGGGGCGGTCTCGGTTGTGCTCTACCGTTTCCGCCTTCGGACTTCTTTGAAGTCTTCTTCTTGGGAGGGCTTCGTCGGAGTTTTCGTTGTCTCCGATGTTCTGGCTTTCACTAGGGACTTCAGATCGTTCAGTGTAACTGTATAGGTTCCGTACAGAACACTGAACAAAATCTTGCCCTTGAGAGCATTGCAATAGCTCTCTCTGTTTTCTTCAGCGGCATTTACTATTTCCACCCACTCAACACTTTCCCCAATTGTGGCGGCTGTGAAGCTTACCACATCCTCAGTATCACAAATGATTTTGAAGAGTCTCCTGTAATATTCATCTGATTCAGGATATTGCTTCACGTTTTCCTTATATTCTGCCTGTAGTGAGGCTCTTCTTTCTGCCCAGAATGCACGGTAGCTAGGCACAGAGGCGCCCGCCATGTCAGGCACGGCACGGCAAGATACTCAAGCCTCAAGCAATATCTAAGAGTTTTACATACAAACAAGGACTGAAAATTTGAGAGCTGATCTGTAAGACCACGCACAACTACCAGCAAATAACTCCTTTACACTGATCGAACACCAATAGTCGAACAGACAATCAGTCGATGAACCTCCGAATATAAATCCCACTTGCCTATCCAATCACAACTTTCCAACCGCACAGTACAGCATATCAAACTCAAACTCCTTGAGCGTGAATCAGTCAAACAGACAAAATGCTCGCTCCTGATCACTCGACGACGTCGCTCTAAATGATCATCCAATCTTTTTCAAATCAATCTCTGATCAATCCTCTATATCCTGATCCGATGTTGCGGAGCTGGAGATGCTCCTTTTTATACACTGCTCGGTGGGAGAGCTAAATTTGAATTTGCTGAGCGACAATTTGCAGAGCGCTGCTTGGCTAAGAATAAGGAGCAGAAATTTGCAGCGGTGCTGGTATAAATATGAATGAGACGTCCGGCAATGTGATATCAGATCGATTATCAGGATAGATCATCAGAGATCAGATCAGAGTGTGCTGTTGTGTACGTTTCCTGATCGGTGGTGCTATTTTCGATCTGGAGTTTTCGATTCGGGATTGTCTGTTTGATTGGATTGAGGAGACGGTATGGTTTCGAACGATTACGAGGTTCGTTGCTGCTGGAGAGGAGTTGTGATCACTCACTTACCGAAGGAGTTTCTTCGAGCTCTCTCGAGTGATCATAGAGCTGGAGTCCCTTCATCTGCAGCTTACTATCTGTAATAGTTAGAATAGTGCGCAAGAAATACACAGTGAGTGGTGTGTCTAGTACATCGGAGGTGGGACCGTCCCGTCTGCAACGAACTATCAAGCAGACGAAATGACGGAACCGACCTTGTGCGAAACACGGTGGACAACAATCGTGGCTTCCTTTGAGAGGAACCACGAAAATTTAAAAACTAATAACGCTGACTGCCAGGAGGAAATCAAACTGTTAGGCAAAGTCTTGCAAACAATAGGGCAGCTTATTCAGACACCTTCCTCCATAAATGGATACGGCGGAGTATGGAGCAAAATCATAACAAAATCCTAGGCTGAAAGAACAGTGCTATGTAAGCATCTCGACGGTAAGGCTTTCTTTACAGCCATGCTGCGACTGTACGCTTCCATCCACAGGGAGTTGCGAGAGTCTCTCCTGCTGGAGCAGAAGGAAGAATCAGCTGAGGAATTTCGAGAACAAAGACGACGTAAACGAAACCCCTCAGAGGAGCAAACTAAAAAGCCAAAGCCGTCACCTAGCCCAAAGGACCCCAGGATAAAATCCCAGGTTAAAGTGCCGACAAAAAATTTCTTTGCGCCCCTCAGGACAACAGAAATGGACGTCGCGGAGGAGACAACCGACAAAGAAGAGCAACCATCTTACAGTAGGTCAGGTAGGCCTCCTCCCATTTTCCTAACCTCTGAAACTAACCTGATACAGTTGCAGAGGAATATCAAAGGCATTACTAATGGCAGTTTTGAGTTCCGTAACACAAGAAGTGGGACCAGAATTCCCACAAAAGACTTGGCGGACTTTTCAGCCATAAAGAAATTTCTTGAAGACAGCAATTTGGCTTACTTTTCCTACTTTCCCAAATCAGAAAAACCTATCAAAGCTGTCATCCGTCACCTTCCCCAAAATACTCCAGCGGAAGATATCTCTGACGGTCTGGTGAGTCTGGGGTTTGACGTCATTAGCA